CGAGACCTCTGTGATGACGTCATCCGCAAGACACAGCATGATCGTCGAGTGCGCCTTTTCCTCCAGAATCGCCATCTCAGGAGTAACGACGGTGTTCTTGTCTTTCGACAACGGCGCCCAGAAGCCTTGTTGTTTCAACAAAGCCCGCATCTTGTCCCGAGTTTTTAACCATGAAGCTTTACTAGAATACCGTGTAACGCTCCCGCCTTAAAAATAAACTCAAGGTGTTACAAGGTTCTGAATGCTTAACCAACTTGAAGATTTTCTAGAATACCGTGTAACGCTCCCGCCTTGAAAATAAACTCAAGGTGTTACAATGTCTCGAATGCTTATCCAACTTGAAGTTTTACTAGAATACTGTGTAACGCTCCCGCCTTGAAAATAAACTCAAGGTGTTAGAAAGTCTGGAATGCTTAACCAACTTGAAGCTTATTCGTGTAACGCTCCCGCCTTGAAAACAAACTCAAAGTGTTACAAGGTCTTGAATGCTTAACCAACTTGAAGCTTTACTGGAATACCGTGTAACGCTCCCCCTTTGAAAATAAACTTAAGGTGTTACAAGGTTCCGAATATTTAACTAACTTGAAGCTTTAATAGGATATTGTGTAACGCTCCCGCCTTGAAAATAAACTCAAGGTGTTACAAGGTCCTGAATGATTGACCATGAAGCTTTACTTAGAATACCGTGTAACGCTCCCGCCTTGAAAATAAATTCAAGGTGTTACAAGGTCCCGAATGCTTGACCAACTTGAAGCTTTAATAGAATACCGTGTAACGCTCCCCCCTTGAAAATAAACTCAAGGTGTTACAAGGTCCCGAATGCTTAACCATGAAGCTTTACTAGAATACCATGTAACGCTTCCGCCTTGAAAATAAATTCAAGGTATTACAAGTTCCCGAATGCTTGACCAACTTGAAGCTTTAATAGGATACCGTGTAACGCTCCCGCCTTGAAAATACACTCAAGGTGTTACAAGGTCCTGAATGCTTGACCATGAAGCTTTACTTAGAATACCTTGTAATGCTCCCGCCTTGATAATAAATTCAAGGTGTTACAAGGTCCCGAACACTTGACCAACTTGAAGCTTTAATAGGATACCGTGTGACGCTCCCGCCTAGAAATTAAACTCAAGGTGTTACAAGGTCCTGAATGCTTGACCATGAAGCTTTACTAGAATACCGTGTAACGATCCCGCCTTGAAAATAAACTCAAGTTGTTACAAGATCCTTGATGCTTAACCAACTTGAGACAGGATAAACCAGTGAAAAGACTAGTTTAAGGTGCAAAGGGACAAATATTGTCCACCTTAAGGCATGGAAATTTAAAGATCCATTTAAAGATAAATTCGTGAGAACTCTAGCTTAAGGT